AGCATAGAATTACACAATAATGTATTAATATATCAAATTAAATATAAAGTATATTAAATATTTATACTTTACAACTGATTAATCAATAAATAAGATATAACCGAACTTTTAAGACTAGTGACTTCAAAAGTGAGATCCCCCTTAACAGCCTTCCCATTGGCATCAAATGCTTTAACAGTTGCGGTCACTTCTGACCGATTTCTGGTCGCATACGTTGGCAACACTACCTCCACGTTAAACGTGGGCAACTCATAGTCGGCGACAGTGAATGCCTTCGTTGTGTTGCGTTCCAACGCTTCGGCAACGATAGTCCAGTTGCCGAACACGGGCTGACCCGACAGTTGCAGCTCTTCAGAAATGATACCGTTTTTCGGATACAATTTTGTCCATTCAATGACACGCTTTCCGTTACCGTCCTATCGATTCATATGGTTATCAAATTCAACTCATTTTCAAACCCAAAATTACTAATACCTTAATATGGATATCAATTGGAGTATTATAATTGGACTGGTCGCTACCCAACTGGTGTTGCCGAGAGTTGACATGAAAGAGAGGCCCAAATATGTATCCAAACAGACAAACATACTTATGGCTGTGTGAAAAGCCAAGTATTAATTCGCAGAGAAGTAAATATAAGCCTTCAGATGTGGTTTCATTGGTTGGGATTGGGTGTGAGTTATTGTGGTTATGCTGTACTGGCTTTTCGTAGACTGTGGTAAAGTAGGCGCCCTTTCCCTTCACCTGCAACTTATAGGTGAAGGGGTCATGAGTTGGGCCTTCGGGCCAATCGCCGATCGCTAGGGTTAGAACTTTGGACTCAGCCGTATTGAATGTAACGGCACCTGTGCTCACACTGTGTGCCGGACCGATAACAGTGGCCACCATTTCGATGGGCGCCGGGATGTCATATAACGAGACATAGATGTGGTAATCGGCGTTTGGCCGCAACGTCTTCGGGGCCACCACTGTATACACGGGTTTACCGCCATTTGCTCTTAAAGTCAATAATAATTTATTTTTAATATTAAATATTTAATTAATAAATATGAATACAAACACATGTGTTGTTGAGATGATTGCCAATAATGTCAGCCATTGAATGGATAATTGAAAGTAATTTCTCATTGCATTGAAACCCATATTTTGATTACAAAATAATATTTCAAATCAATTCTTGTATAGAAAATACTTTTATTTATAACTGATAAACAAAATGTTATATTATTTTTTAAAATACAATTCCTTTTAATTTGAGATAATTATTTTAAAACAATACATTTTTCTCATAAAATTTTAAAACACTAATCACTTGCTATTCGTTCACATAAAGAATATATGATTGAATTTGTGCTAAAATTCACTCAAATAAACAGATGTTTTATTTAATTAATTCAAAATTACTGAAAGTTGCATAATGTATGTAAATGTAAAATCCAATAATTATAAAATTTAATTATTATTTTTCATTTAAAGTTTTGTTTCACTTATTTGTGAAATCAATTCACAATAATTTTAAGCCATATATAAATTATTGTAACCTTATTTCCCTCTCAAACACTGCCGACAATAACATTGTACCTAAACTGACCCAAATGTCACCCCATTCTGTCCCTATATAAAGCCCAAACTTACCACATATATTCAGAGTATACAAAAATGTAACCCTCGACACACTCCTCGTGTGTTTCGCACTCCTTGTGCTTATGTTTAAAATAAGTTTTAAATAAAAATTAAAGTTTTTTACATGCATTTGTGAATACCTTTATATATATGAAATACGTATCCGTATGTATACAATGTAAATGTAATGCGCTTTTGTGTATTGGGTTTGTTCTAATTATACGTTTTTTGTAGACTCCCTGGCCTTACAGAAGTACATAATTTTAATTAAGGTTGAAATGAAAGTTATTTATTAATAATTTGTGACGTCTAATAATGAGGTTTGTAGACTTTGTTTTGATCAGATGATGCAACTTCTGAGCCATCGATCTGAACTAGTGAACGAAATTATAGTGCCGGTGCCGAGGGACGGCACGGCACCGGACCAGTTTTAACTATACCGGCACTAAACCGGCACCGGCACTAGTAAAATATATGCTGTTGGTAAACATAAAAAATTATTTTTTGGAATATTTAATAGTACACAAAGATTGCGTTTCATATATTTGAATGTGAGAAATCACATTACTGCACATGCTCTGTTAGCACCGGCACTACCGGCACTGGAACGGCACCGGCACTCAGAAATCGTAATTTTTCGTTCACTAATCTGAACATCAGTCCATTCATTGATGTCTTCGACAGCAGTCGACCCCTTCCTCTCCTTCTCTCTCATCAAACCTTTCAATAAACTGAATGTCATTTTGTTTTGATTCTTGATTTCAGTCAACATTTTCTGAATATTGATCTCATCATTGATTTTGTCTGAATTAGTGGTCAATTGATTGCCGGAACCGATCGCAGACCCGGAGGACATGTCTTGTTCAACACTCGCTGAACAACTGTTTACTAATAAAATACAAATTAATAAATCAAATGAATTTTGTGAAAATAAATTACTATTAAATGCAAACCTAATGTTTTGTGTATTGATTTCTTGGGCCAATTCTCTGACATCGGATTCAATGATGCCTTCAATGCCGACAACTCTTCATTCAATTCACTGTTTTTGGCCAACAATTCACTCAAACTTTATTTGCAAAAATAGATTTAAAATTTTGATTACAATTTGCTAACAAAATCGGCAATTGTTTAACAATTATATCAAACCTCTTGTCGTAAGTCAACATATTTTCTCTCAATTCATTCATCTGTGTCTCCATTGAATCCAATGCTGTGTTGAGCTGTGCTTTCAATGCCTGCACTTCGGACTCATTTCTTGCCTTCAAATCCGGTAATGTTTCAGACATTTTAGTACACTTTCGGTCCGACTCTACAGTCAAACTATAATATTTTAAAAATAAATTAAATGCAATATAAAAATGTGTCAAACTAACCTGGTTGATTGAGTACTACATCTCAAACGGACATACTGTATATGATATTGTTGAACCTAAACTTAGCCAAATTATAATCATCATGGTATAATTTATATGCCTTTAAAAAGTTAGTGCTAATAATGTCAGTGTTTTCATTGTACAGGCATTTACTCTGTAGAAAACGTTTGAGATGTTTGATTGTCTTAACATCTGGTGGTGTTTCCACATTAATCATATTGTAGAGAGGCCAGAGGCCACTCTAATTAATAATATTTTTACTCAATTGGTTTTGAATATAACTTTATTTAATGAATAAAATAGATGTTAAAGTGTTGAGGTCTGGATCAAGAATGCTTATTGAATATTGGTTGCATTAGATTATATGCAATTACTAATTATTGTATTGTTTTACTAAATAGCAATTAATACTACAATTGATTTTATCTTAAATAGTGAACATTTTTCGTTAAATTTACATTAAATTTAAATAAATACAAAAATAATTCATACAATTAAAGTGAAAAGTTGTTACATATTTTTTATGTATAATTTATATGTTAAATACGCTATATTTTGCATTTACTGGCATTAATGTTTTGTTTTAAACAATTATTTTTGGTTATTTAAATTATAGTTTATTGTCAACACATTTATGGTTTCTATTAATATCTCATAAGATAACGATTATATAAAAATCTTTTATTACAATAATCAAAATGACAAATACATGGTTTTTCTCCCCAATGTATGTTTTGCTGTTTATTTATTTTATTATTTTTGTCAAACTTTGCCATTATTTGTATTTTTAACTATTCTAACTAGCTAACTGTCAATTACAACTATCAATGTGTTTTGTTAAAACACAATTTGACAAAACACTTCTTACAATTACTTGAATTAGATTTATATTTTCTTATTTAAATGATAAATATTTTTTGTAATTCAATAAAATCGACGATTGACTGAAACTTTTATTGCAATCATTGAAATGACAAACAAATGGTTTTTCTCCCGAATGAACGCGTTTTTCTCTTGAATTAGGCTATATTTCTGAGCATAATTTTTGTCACCATTTTCTTCATTATATTTGAATCTCTTTTTATTTAAATGAACACAACTTTTGTGTCGAAATAAATATCTATTTGTTACACAACTTTTATTGCATGCATTGAAATCACAAATAAATTTTACATTTAAATCAACTCTATTTTTGTGGAAAAGTTATGGTATATAAATTGTATAAAAGTTGAATTATCATTGAGTGGATCCTATTATAAATGTGGTTCAATCGGAATCATTGTTGGAAAACAATTCATTGATGAATTCGAGTCCTGTCTTCTCTTTTTTACTAATCAAATCTTTCAATAAATTGTTTGTCATTTTGTTTTGATTCTCGAGTTTCTGAAACATATCCTGAATATTGATCTCATCTCTGGTTTTGTCTGAATTAGTGGTCAATTGATTGCCGGAACCGATCGCAGACCCGGAGGACAGGTCCTGTTCAACACTCAATGAGCTATTGTTGAAAATAATATGCAAAAGTAGTTAATTATTAATTTTGTCGTAAAATTATATAAATAAAATCAAACCTAATATTCTGTGCATCAATCTCTTGAGCCAATAGTTTGACACCGGATTCAATGATTTGTTTCGATGCTTTCATTGAAGATAACTGTACTCTCAGTAAACTGTTTTCACAACTTTGTTTCTTCAAATCTATGTCCGTATTTTGATTACTAAAAATAATTATGAAAATATATACAAAACATAAGTATAAATGAAAAAACTGACATTTGTTTCAATCCATTGATCTGAGTCTCCATTAAATCCAATGTTTTCTTGAGCTGTACTTTCAATGCCTGTACTTCTGTCTCATTCTTTGCCTTCAAATCCTTTATCTCTTGAGTTAAAGCACTGTTTTTTTACCGACAATTCACTCAAATCTGTGACCATTTCTTGATTACTGTGAAAAATATTAGTTTTAAATAAAAATGTATTTTAATAAAAATTCATTTGCATTGAGAATATAACAAACCTATTCTTAGATGTCATTAATTGTTGCCTCAAATCCTTGATCTCTGTATCCATTGTCTGTATTGAATCATCTGATGTCTTGAGCTGTGCTTTCAATGCCTTCACTTCGGACTCATTGCTTGCCTTCAGAGCCGACATCTCTTCACACAATTATCATATCTATTTGATATGTAAAATAACATTTACATTTATTTAAAAATATTCAGCACATGTGCGCATACCTGAGTCGAAACTGACTATTAATTTATTATTGATTGTGAGATCAGATCGCAATTCGGACTCATTGCTTGCCTTCAGAGCCGACATCTCTTCACACAATTCACGACACTTTCGGTCCGACTCTTCACTCAGACTAGAGTTTTAATTTTAATTAAATTAATTGTTAATATGAATGGCTGACTGTCTCTCTGTGTATGCGATCTGATCTCACAATCAATAATAAATTAATAGTCAGTTTCGACTCAGGTATGCGCACATGTGCTGAATATTTTTAAATAAATGTAAATGTTATTTTACATATCAAATAGATATGATAATTGTGCATTAATAACTAATTGTTTAAATACCTTAAAGATTTTAAGTACAAAGATCTTATAAATGCTATACAAGTGCTGAGTTCAAGTTACAAGTGCAATTATTCATTTAAATGTGAGCTTTATTTGTGATTTCAATGAATGCCACAAAAGTTTTACAACAAAATCACATTTATTTCAACACAAAAGTTGTGTTAATTTGAATAAAAAGAGATTCAAATGTAATGAAGAAAATTGTGGCAAAAAATTCAATCACAACATTTAATTTCACACAAACGCATACATTCGGGAGAAAAACCATTTGTTTGTAATTTCAATAATTGTAACAAAAAAATTTTTACAAAAATCTAATCTCAAACTCCATATGATAATTTATAATAATATAAAAAGCCATTAATGTATTCATAATAATTATAATTATTTGTTACAAAAAACAATTAAATAGACATTTAAGTAAATTAAACCATTAATCCTAATTTATATTTCATTATGTTTATTTTAAATGTAAGTTTTAAACATATAGTTTTAATCAATAGAATATAACTTATCAAAAATAATAAATGTAATAATTTTTGAAAATATAAAATGTAATCATTAATAAATTGACAATTTAAATATTTATTATTAATTAAAACAAATTACTAATTATACAAATTACTAATTGTACTGCACTGTACTGTACTGCTCAATACTGTATTAATTCATGTTATTATTAAAAAGAATTAAACATATTATTTATTAATTTAGTCAACAATTTATAAACAATATATTACATTGTCTTATACTGAACTAATACTAGCCATGGATTCGCTGTCATCCGAGTCTTTGACTGATTGTCTCATGTCTTGGAGTACTTCTCTATCACTAAAGCCTTCAATAAAGTGAATGTAATTTTGTTTTTATCTTTCAATTGACTCTCAATTCCAGTATTTCTGTAATAAATAATCATTTTATTTATAAACCGATTAACGTTTTAAATAGCACTCAAATGAGAAGCAAATGTTGTGTTTTATAGAAAAATATAAATTTATTTTTAAAATACAAGTAAAAACGTTTGACATTACAATTCACTGCAACCACTCGTTGGCCACCAATTGTTTGAAGTATTTTGTGTTCACTTTTCCCGATGTTAGTCCTCGGGATGTAAGCGATGGACACAACACCCCGGAGCATGACATGTAGTTTTAGATGCAAACTTCCAGTACTCGGCTTTAATTAAAAGCATATTTATTTATTCAGTGATTATTACACATGTTTTATAAGATTGTTTGCAATTATTTTATTAAATAATTTTATTAATAAGTACTTTATTCATAATTTTGTCACAATAATTGACTTAATATAGCTATATTTAACCAAATCTAATAATAATTATACTGAAAATACAAAACTATGTGATATAAAGGGAAAAACAATAATGATGTATTAGTGTTATTAGAAATATTAATATAATTCTATGAAAAGTTGGTTTTAAAAGTACACAAATGTCTAATTTGGTGAATATTCTTATGGTATTTATAGATAATAATAATATTATAAAAATTATGTTCTCGACTTATGTTATAAGAAAAGCCTATTAAATAGTGAATTAAATGATAGATTTAACACAATTAATAATACAATACAAAAATCGATATCAAAATTATAATATTATTTATAATTAAAACAATAATAATTCAAATCTTCATTAATGTTAAGATACATAAGAAAAGAAAATAATGAATAAAAAGACAGTTTTAGACAATTTATAAGACAATACAAAAATTTATATCTAAATTATTGTCTTATTAGGGATCAGTCGATGCAACTCCTGAGCCATTTATTTTGACACAAAAGTTATGTTTATTTGAATGAAAGGAAATGAAAAAATTCGTGGCAAATATTTCACAATAAAACAAATTCGTTGCCAACACTAGCAATGGATTCGCTGTCATCCGTGTCTTCAGCCAATACTCTCATGTCTTTGTTTTCCTTATCTCTAACCAAACCTTTCATTAAATTCAATGTCATTTTGTTGTGATTTTTTATTTCAATCAATATTTTCTGAATATTGATCTCATCTCTAGTTTTGTCTAAATTAGTAGTCAATTCATTTTGGGATCCGATGTAAGACATGTCCTGTTGACCATTCGCTGAATAACTGTTTGATATAAAAATATTATTACAAAAAATAAATTACAATTTTTTTTCAAAAAAAAAAATACAATTAAAAACAAACCTTATATTTTGTGCATTGATTTCTTTGTGCAATAGTTTGACATCGGATTCAATTATATGTTTCGATGCCTTCAATGCCGACAACTCTTCACTCAATTCACTGTTTTTTGTCGACATTTCACTCAATTCTCGCTTCAAATCGTTATTTTCGATAACAATTTTGTCCAATAAATGAAAGACTTCTTTGAGTTGTGTCCTCACAATTGACATCTTTTCACAATAATAACTCCACATATCGTCCGACTCTTCACTTTGACTATAATTTTAATAAACGTTTTATTAATCAATCAATTGATGTGTATATATATAAACCATTTATTTAAATACCTGGGTGACTGAGTTGAGATCACCGCATTATCCCTCGTATTGATGCACATCTTGGTATTGTAATGTCCACATAAATTAGACATTATATAACTATCAATTCTATAAGAGGTTATTGTTAATTATGGCAAAAATAATTATATTAATTGTTTTAAAAATTGTATTACTTATTTGATTTATGGCTGACTGTCGATGATTGCGATCTGATCTCAAAGTCTTTACTAAACTAATGGTGAGTTTGGTGTGAGGTATGCGCACACATGGAGTGTACAGTACTGTATATCATGAATACTAATCGCAAAAATACTTTAAATAAATACAAATGAAATGGGGATCAGTATTGATCCATTGCAATCATGTTAGGGGTGATTCGCAAATTACGTTCGCACTTGAGGGGAGGGGGGTCGGCCAATGCGAACTTTTGCGAACGAGGGGGAGGGGAGGGGTAGAGCCCTGAAGAACGTTCGCATTAAAACAATTTAATGAGTTTAAGGGATTAATTTTTATCAAAGTTAATCTTTTGATAACAACGGTTTGATAAGGGGTGATTCGCAAAGTACGTTCGCACTTTTTAAGAAATCTAGACCCCCCCTCCCCCCTAAGTTCGCACTTGTTCGCAT